GCAAACCTCAATAGGCTCACTCTGAACGCCGAGAAGACAAAAGCCATCTTGATCGGATCCCCTTCACTCCTCAAATCCTCCCCGGTATCTCCCAATCTCTCCCTGAACAACTCACCTATCTTATTCTTCACCACCATTAAAAACCTAGGTGTTACTTTCGATCAATCCCTATCCTGGAAACCTCACATCTCCCAAATTTCCCATCGCACTATCTCCACCCTAAAACAGTTCAATCGTCTACGATATCTCCTTCCATATAAGTCCCGTCAACTCCTAGTTTCCGCCCTTGTTTTCCCCCACTTCGACTATGGCTGTATGGTGTACGGTGGACTCCCGGGAGATTCCGAGGCCAAACTTAAACGCCTAATGAATTGCGCACTACGATTTGTTTTCGGAATCTCAAGGGATACGCATATTACTCAGTATTACACTGAGTTGAGGTGGCTCTACCCATCCTATCGCCGTCAGTACTTCCTAGCCATCTATCTGTACCAAATCATTAGAACCCATCGACCCTCCTATATTTTTCACAGCTTACAATTCAAATATTCCATCCAATCCTGTCCCACCAGATCTCGTACTTCCGACCTCTATCCTCCTCCTCACCGAACTGCTGCGTTTGACAAATCCTTTGCAATACAAGCCGCCTCCCTCTGGAATTCCATCCCAGCTGATATTCGACACGCTCAATCAGTTTCCTCGTTTAAACCTCTCCTCTTTAAGCACCTACTCCTTTCTCAATCCGAATGATTGTGAAATATATCTAAGAGAAATATCTGAGCACCACCAGAGACTACCTCAATTTATTAAGGTTATTTTAGTTTCTCATACATATGTACAATTCACTTGTTCTTTTCTTTCTCTTTTCTGTATTTTTATCTTAAGTCAACTTTCATTGTAAATATACAATTTAATTGTAGCCACACAGACATATAATCTGTATTCATATTTTGTTCTTAAGGGACAACAGTCCCAGAATAATAAAACATTTTTTTTCATTTCATTTCATTTCATTTTCATAAAGGTGGTGGGAACAATGGAGAATTGATTTGTGTTGGTCGTTAATGTAGGAGCTGAAAAGGAGAGGAGATATGCTTGAACCCTGGGCAACTCCATAGGATAAAGAAAGGAAGGCAGATAGTGACTGATTGGGAATGGAGACAGTGTGAGTACGTTGTGAAAGGAAAGATTGAAACCATGAGATAGACCTATTGGAGAAGGATAATAATTTCAGTTTGTTGAAAAGGATGGAATGGTTAATGGAATCGAAGGCTTTGGAGAAGTCGAGAATGATAAGGATAGTTAACTTTTTATCATCTATTGCAGTTTGAATGTCACTGGTGATTTTAATTAAGGCGGATTGTGTGGAGTAGCTGGGACGGAAACTAGATTGGAGAGGATCAAGTTGGTTGGACTTTTCAAGGAAGTTGGAGACTTGGGATTGCACCAATCTTTCTAGGGGTTTTGAGAGGTTGGAGATTGGGACTTTGGGTGAGGTCGGATTAGAATTTTTATTCAAAGGAAAGACAATGGCTTTTTTCAAGATGTAAGGAATACTGAATTCTGAAGGGAGAAATTGTAGATGAAAAGGAGAACTGTGAGGATTTCAGGGAGACATAATTTTATTAATTTGACAAGGATGCCATCTGGTCCTATGGAATTGGTGTGAGATTTCATTACAGCGGTTAAAAGGTCTGTGGGAGAAATGTCAGAAAAATTTAAGTTATTGTCGTTAAAGAATATCTTTGCAGAAAAGCTGGAAGAGGAGAGTAGAGAAGAGGTATTGACGACAAATATAAAATGTGAGTTTAGATCATCGGAGGAAATAGAAAAGGCTGAGGTAGGAGATTTGGAAGGATTACAAATGAAAAGTTTATGAAGCAGTAGTCATTTTGATTTGATATTAGGAGCTAAGGAAAGGGTTCTAAGGAAGTAGGTAGCTTTTGCACGGCGGATCCTTGTCTGTGCCAAGTTGCTAAGCACCCTGTGCGCTTCTTGGTCATCTGCAAGCCTAGTACGTCTAAAACGTCTTCGGGCAGCATCGTGCCTCATCTGGAGATCTCTAATTTCCTGAGGGTGGTGAGAAATCGAGGATTCAGATCTTCAGGCTATTGTGGACAAACATGTCTACTCCTCCGCCAGTCCGTCTTACCCGGTCATGACAGAGGAGGGTGTAATTAGGCAAGGAAACATAAGGTGACTTTATGAAAAATGAGAACTTTATAACACCAGAAATAAAATGAATAGAGTTTAATGTAGGATTGTTTCTTTCAGTCACGAAGACCTCTAACCCATCAACTCTTAATGATTTCCGCCCAACTTCCTTTCTTTCAAATCTCTTCAAACCTTTAGAGCAACTAGTCCATTCCTAGCTATCCCACTTTTTAGAACAGAATAATCTCCTAAATCTCTACCAGTCCGGTTTCAGGCCTTGCTATTCTACTCCATCTACCCTAATCGAGATTTCCCAAGACCTTCATACAGCCAAAGATCAGCAGAAACTAACCATCCTTATTCTCTTTGACTTCTTTAGATTTAGATTCAGATTCTTTCTCTTGAAAGCTTTAGATTCAGTAGACCACAACATTCTCCTAACCAAACTTAAAATATCTCATTTACTTCTAGTGCCCTTAATTGGTTCCAATCCTTCCTTACCGCTTGCTCCCAGTATGTTATAATCCCTAATAACCCCTCATCAGAATCTTCACCCTTGTCTAGAGGTGTCCTACAAGTCTCTTCCATATCCCCCACCTTTTTTACCACCTATATAAATGACCTCCCATCCTCTATCCTGCACGGTCAATACCACCTGTATGCCGACGACATCCAAATTTACCTCTCCTTCAATCTGATCGATTCCTCTGATGTCATCCTAAAACTCCAAGAAGATATTAACATAACAAGTGCTTGATCAAATCTCAACAGGCTCACTGAACACCAAAAAGACGAAAGCCGCCTTGATCGGATCCCCCTTACTCCTCAAATCCTTCATGTTACCCCCAATCTTCTGAACAGCTTACCCATCTTATTCCATACTTCTGTAAAAACTCTGTGTCTTACTTTTCACCAAACCCTCTCCTGGAAACCACACATCTTCCAAATTTCCCATTGTTCTATCTTCACCCTGAAACAGTTCAATCGTCTACACCAGGGGTCTCCAACTTTTTTACTTTGAGACATTGACTAGGTTTCTCGGTCCACATTGAAACCTCCACTCAAATCCGGTGGGTCATAGACTGTCTTAAAAAAAAAAAATCTTGTTGTATAAATGACACTTCAGGTGTGAAATGAGTTTTCTAAAATAAGAAAAACCCAAGCAATAAATGTTGTAGTAACACTGTTTGAGTCATTGGTAAATTTCATATTTTTAAAATTTTACCATATAATCAAAGAAACTTTTGCTGGCCAGACTAAAGGTGCTTGTGGGCCATAGCTTGGACACTCCTAGTCTACGCTATCTCCTTCCATATAAGGATACTTACTTAAATACTTATGAGTCCCGTCAACTCCTAGTTTTCTCTCACTTTGACTATGGCTGTATGGTGTACGGTGGACTCTCAGGATATTTTGAAGCCAAACTCTTAATGAATTGGTCAATACATTTTCTTTCGGAATCTCAAGAGATACGCAATATTACCCAGTATTACATCGAGTTGAAGCGGCTCTACCCATCCTACCGCCATCAGTACTTCCTAGCTACTTTTCTGTACCAGGTTATTAGAACTCAGCGACCTTCCTATATTTTTCATATTTTACAATTTGAATACTCCATTCATTCCAGTCCCACTAGATTTCGTACTTCCGACCTCTATCCTCCTCCTCACCGAACTGCTGTGTTTGACAAATCCTTTGTAATTTCAGCCATCTCCCTCTTTATTTCTATCTCTCCTAATATTCGACAAGTACAATCAATTTCCTCATTCAAACCTCTCCTCTTTAAACTACTACTAGTTTCCCAATCCGACTGAATACAAAATGTACCTAGAGAACTATTTAAGTATCCCCAGAGACTATTTATGTTTACTTATGTTAATTTAGTTCCCTATGTTATATATATATATTACATGGTTGATTTATATGTACATATACATATATATATATATATATATATATATATATATATATATATATATGTATATATATATATATATATATATATATGTATATGTATGTATGTATGTATATATATATATGTATGTATGTATGTATGTATGCTTTTCTTTTCTCTTTCTTTCTGTATTTTTACTTTTAATTAACTATTATTGTAAATATTTAATTTATTCATGGTCACACTGACGTGCATTCTGTAATTATAATTTTTTCTAAAGGGACAACAGTTCCAGAATAATAAAATATATTTACATTTCATATTCTCATAATTGATTGTTTCTTGATTAACTTTATTTTTTTCTTTTCTTTCTATTATTTATTCTATTTCTAATAAAATAAATACTTTAAAATAATAATAATATCTAATATAGGACAGACTATCAGTATATGTAATACATTATATTTCTGTTGATTTTAGAATTCACTTCAATTCACCGATGCTCTAATTTCACTGTTTACAATTCCATCTTTGTTGCCTTTTATTTTACTCCGTTTATGATCATTTCACTTACTATCTGTCATTTTCCACCCCTGCAGTAGATCTGTAACTGATATTTGATATATTGTTCTAACTTAACATTAACTGATATTTTATTTATTTGTACCTTGTACCAATTTACAATATTTTTTTTTATCATGTTCTTTTAGCCCTAATGAAGACCTATTGCATAGGTCGAAACGTAGGCAAATGAGTAAACACCACTACAATGTATAATATGTGTCTATTGACCACACTCCCGACCAACTTCTTAATTTTTTTATTTTATATTGTAATAAAAATGTCTGTTGTATATAAAATCTAAGTTTACTTCCCCTATTACAGATTTGCTAAATTACTGGCTGATATTTTAAAAAAATTTGTCATTTTTACCTACACCTTTTTCTTCTAGGAACTGAAATGAAGTATTACTTTGCCACGAAAAAAGAAATTAAATATAAATCCCAATCCTTACAGCAAACAGTTGTAGTGTATCAATCACAGCGTGATATGGATATGAAAGGAATGGATTTTGATATGAATAATGATATAATATTTTGGACTTCAGGTAATTTTAAATTAATGTTGTTTTGCTTATTATTCATTTCAACAAGAAAAAATATTATTCAAAAGAAATAATAATAGAGATTCATAAAAATTATTAGAATTAATTATGGATTGATTGACTGTAGTTGACTGTAGTGAATAATTGAAGAGAAGGATGGTTGGGATGATCAGTCAAAATAAAAAGTAGTCAAAATAAATAATTATATTTATTTTTATTTTTATATTTGCCTATAAACATTACCTAGTATAAATAATTATGTATTGTAAATAACATAATTATTGAAGGAAGTTTAGTCGACTGTTCTACATATCATGGGTGATAAATATTCAGGACGCAGTCTTTTTTAAATAATTTTTTTATTTATGCCAACGTTTCAACCCAAACATGTGGGTCATCTTCAGGGCTGAAAAGTTTTTAAAATAAAAACAGAGATATAATATTATACGACCGATAATGGTAAATAATAAACTATGGTGATTGATGGTACATGAATCTTAACTAATATTGCAATACACATATTAAAAATGAAATATGTAAATAGTTATACAAACTAAAAATTAAAGTATATAATCCATTTATACAAATTTGTAATATTTTCTTGTACTAACCTTGGTTTGAGCACTGCGGGTGTTCAAGTACTGACACCTTTGTTAGGTATGTGAGGTCAGGATGGGAGGATTTCCTAGTTGTCCTTTTTCAGATAGCAAAAGGTAGGTAAACATAGTCAGAGAGGATGGGAGGTAACATTTCTGTTTGTAGAATGTAAATAATTTGCTGAACAAATATTTTAGATTTGTACACTATTTGCGTTGTTTCTTATGGTTACAGAAATGTGACTATTGGCTAGTAATGAAATGAACATAAGCAAGAGGTGCTAATCAATATAAATATAACTTAGTTTTATTAAAAGTATAATATGGTTAGACAAATAATTTTTATAATAAAGACAATTTTAATGGATTGAAATGATACGTAGGACAATATATTATACAATATTTTAAGAATAACAATATTAATCATACTAGAAGTTCGTATTATATTAAGGGTTACATAGTTTTTGTGGTATAAGTATAAACATATCTGTGCCTGTTTATAGTATATATTAATATTGAGAATGGACATTATATATGTATACATACATATATATACATATACATATATACATACATATACATATATACATACATATATATATATACATATATATATATATATATATATATATATATATATATATATATATATATATATATATATATACATACATATATATATATATACATACATATATATATACATACATATATATATATATATATATATATATATATATATATATATATATATATATATACATACATACATACATACACACATATACATAAATATATAATAACCTTAGGAGTAATTACCTATGTAAGTTGTCGGGGAAATGGGGAAAGATGACAAACAAAATTTTAAATGATTATAGACTATTGTTTTAGGAGGCGGAAAATATTCGAATATGTGTTGCAGATCTTTTCTTTGTCTACTTTGTGGTTTACCGGATTATTTTTTTCCAAATTAATGAATATAGATTCCGAAAGTAGTCGTTTTTGATGATTAGGAACCGTGGCAAGTATGGTTGGGTTTTCAGAATCAAATGTGTGGTTGAGGGTTATGGCGTGTTCTACTAGTTTTGAGGCGAATGGGTTTTGTGTGGAGATGCTGTATTTGTGTTGATAGATTCGTTTTTTTTAAATAGTTTTTTTTTTTTTTGTATATCGTGTCCCGGCACCCACTGGAAAAAGTAATTGTTGCTGTATTAGTTGTATATTAGTGATATCATTTTAAAGGAAATGTGTGTCATTGCTTTATTTTGGTAGATTAATTTTAGGTGTTTACATGCAGTTGCTGAGTCTGTCAGAATAACTATTTTTTGGTTGATATATGTTTTTTTGCTGTATATTATGGCATTAAGAATGGCATATAGTTCGGCGCTGAAAATACTGAAATCAACTGGTATTGATAATGAAAATTTCTGGTTCTTTTGGGGATCATATACAGCTATGGACGTTCGGTTACTTGTTTTTGTATAAATTTGTAGATAATTTGGGTAGCGGTCCGTGATTGTGTTTAATGCTAATTGTTTCAAATAAATTGGTGGGTATGAACTTTTCTTCTCTAATTTACCAGCTAGATTAGAGGAGCTGTGAATATTAATTAAAGATTTGGGAATGGGCGTTGTGTATTCTAGAGGAGCTTCCGAAATGTGTAGTGATTTAATAAGAGGCTGCAATTCGTTAATAATGAAAGATAATTGGGGACAGAACACGTTTCCACTTCTAATTTCTTTACTTACAGGATGATTATTGTCGGAATACACTTTGAGGATGTATTTTTTCGTTAACCATGACCTTCTGATGTGTAATGGCATCTCTCCGGCTGAGGCCTGAAGCGTGTTTACTGGAGAAGTTTTAAAAGCACCCAAACATAACCTTATGGCACAGTTTTTTGTTGTATTCAACTTATTCATAATTGGTAATTGGTTGACTGTCATGGATAATGAAGAGAAGAATAGTTGGGGTGCTCAGTCAAAAAGGAAGGCAAAAAATAAATTATAATATTTATTTATTTTATTTATTTTTTTTTAAAATAAATATTATAATTTATTTTTTGCCTTCCTTTTTGACTGAGCATCCCAACTATTCTTCTCTTCATTATTCAACTTATTAATGAAGGGGGATTTAGTTTGATTGTATACTACACAGTAATAATCTAAATTAGATCTTACTATTGTTTTGTAGAGAGTGAGCATGTTTTGTGGGTGAGAACCCCACAATATTCCAGCTAAAAATTTTAGTATGTTTAAGTTTTGCAGCGACTGTGTGTGAATATTTAATTTAGTGTCAAAAAGCGATGCGTTTTGAAATTTAATTTAGTGTCTAATGTTATGCCTAAAAACTTTAAGTGTTCTTCGCTTTTAACTGTGTATTTTTCATTTGAAATCTCAAAATCTTTGAAGTTAATTGTTCTTTTTCTAGTAAAAGGAGTAATACTGCATTTGTTAGGATTAATTTTTAGGTCTATTATTGAAAATGCTTGTGTTAGGTTGTCCAGTGCTGAGCTGATTATGTCTTTCCCTTCTTCTGCAGATTTCGCTACAGTATAAAGTAAAAAGTAATCTGCAAATTGAATGATTTTACACTGTCAATTGTATTGTTGGTGATGTGTTCGGTGTAAAGATTGAAGAGGGTTGGACTCAAAGTATCTCCTTGAGGGAGACCACTGTAGGTTTCAGAAGATACTCGACCTTCCCAAGTATCCAGAAAATATGTTCGATAAGTTAAGTAATTTATTACCCAGTGAGTTAGTTTCGTAGGGATGTGCAGATTTTTTAATTTAGATAGCAAGATTTGTATTTTTACATGGTCATATGCTTTATCAATATCAATGGTTAATGCCACAAGGATCTTTCTTTCTCTGAAAGCTTTGTAGATATCATTGATTAGAATCAAGATTGCATCAGTGGTTGACCTGTTTTTCCTAAAACCAAAACAATGAGGACTTAATACAAGATATTTGTTGATTCTATAAACCATTCTAATCTCGTTTTGACAATTTTGTTGAATACTTTTGCTAAGCATGAGATGAGAGCAATACGGCGGTATGAAGTGATCTGAAGTGCATCTTTACCAGGCTTTAATATTGGGAATATGAGTATATTTCGCCAGTCAGGAGGAACCTTGGCATCATCCCAAATTTTATTATAAGCAGAAAGCAATCTCTGTTTCACCAAAGCTGGTAAGAGTTTGATCATTTGGTAATTGATTTCGTCCACACCGGGGGCGGATCCAAATTTCCCTTTTAATGCTGCTTCCAGCTCTGTTAATTGGAAGGGTGAATCTAAATGGTGGCCAATATGTACATTAGAACCGCAAAGCAATGGTTGTCTGGGCACAAAGATGTTCGACAATTGTTCGAGAAAGCCTATTGCATGTGTTCAGTTACTTAACACAATATTTTGCATGTTAATTCGCTTACCACGTAAGGTTTTAATTTTGTTCCACATAGAGCTGGTTTGTTTTGGGTTGATGTTTTCGATGTAGTTTCTCCAAGTCTCGCTTTTGGCCTTTTTAATAAGTGATTTAGTCTTATTTATTTTCGTTCTCATGATTTTGTAGTTTTCTATTGTCATATTCTTTAAGTATTCTTTTATTGCTATCTTCTTTTCCCCATACGACTTGCGAATGTCTTCATTCCACCAGCACTTCGGGATAAATTTTGGATGGTATTCCAAACACTTCCGAGGAATAGCTGATTCTCCTGCTTGGTTAACAATGTTAGTCAAGTCTGAAATATTGTATTTTATATTAGGTTTCTCCATTTCCAGGAGGTAATCTGTAAATATCTTTTCATTTAATCTTTTGAAATTTCTTTTAGAATTGAATTTGTGTTGCCTCTTGATTCTGCAGTTGTTTACTTCGATTATTATTTGTAAGTGGTCACTCCTTAGTGTTTCTGGACTTACAATCCAGGTGAGGTTATGATAGAGATTGGCTGTAACAAATGTTAGATCTATAACAGAAGGTCTTGATAGAGAGTTGCCTAATTTAGTGATTATTTCTGTTTCATTTAATAGGATTAGCGGACTGTTTTGTAAAGCCAGAATTAAGTCATCTCCTCTTGGAGTATCATATTCTTGAGCAACAAAAAATGAGGAGTGTGTGTTAAAATCCCCTTCCAAGAGGACACTGCAATTTGGAAATTTGACATGCAGATCAAAAAGATTTTCGAGGTTTCGAAGTGATGGCCGCCTTCTGTTGTCCGGTGGAATATATACTGAAACTATGATGATGGAAGGTACTGTGTTAAGAAGTTTTACCCCTACTGCCTCAATTGTTCCCAGATTTGGTAAGTCTATGATTTCATAAAGTAAAGAAGTATAGAGAAAGATGCCCACTCCTCTGTACCTGTCTCGTCTATTTCTTTTTATTATGTTGTAATTTTGTGCACGGTAA